GAATTTCGCTTATCTATGATTGTTACGTTACATGCGTTTGAATTTGTTTTTCTCGGAGGACGCGCGATACCCACGCCCACGCGGAAAATCGATTTTATTTCAAACAGAGGCATTTTGTAAACACGCGACGATCGTTTCTCCGTTATTTCCATATTAACGCGTCGCGCTGACGGAGGGAGATCAGGGAATGGAACTCGGGACAATTGAAAGATCCTTTCTCGCCAATACTCACGCGAATGCCCGTAATTGTTTTTCAGATGCTGCAAGGTGTGCGCTCGCGTCGAGGGAGAACCGTGCGGTGGCCTGTTCGGTTTTTCCGGAAGTTGCGCCGACGGCTTACAATGCGTCATCAAAAATTTGCTACCCAATACTCGGGAGGTGGACGAAGGAGTCTGCACGAGTGAGTGGAATCTTGACTTTTATTCTCAAATTTATTAACCTACAATTGTCCCTCGTTTTTTCCAACTTTGCTTTCGTTTCTTGGCGTCAAATTGACACAATTGAGAAAGGCGGAAAGACTTGCGCAATGAAAGGGCAAATAATTGAAATTACAAATTCTTTTATATAAAAAGAAAGATGTATTCTTCTTGATATAAAAGTAAATGGAGTAAATTTCCTTTAATTTTGTTTAAAATTATGCGACAATTTATTTTGCAGTTTCACTTGTCACAACTCGTAACTACGAATGCTTGTATTCACCTTCGAAATGCATAATTATAATAATTATAGTAACGCGGATTATTATTCACTTAATATGCGGAATTTAAAAAACTCATAGTACAAAAGTATATGAAAAAGTATTCTATTCGTTGTGGTATTTAGTAAGCGAAATGAATCTCTAATTAAACTTAATTCCTATAATTCAGAAAAATATGAATGTACTACTTTTAAAGTATAAAAAAATATATACAAAACAGAGTATCAACTGCACTTATGTGCAGTATGCAGAATAATAAAATGTGTCAAATTGATACGAGGGACAAATGAGGGTCAATGACTTTGCAATCTATTAACTTTTTACATTAAAAAAAAAAAAAAAAAAAAA